AATAAAGGAATACTCCCCCCCCCCCCCTCCCCCCCAACTTGCAATGTAAGCTAAATAAATGGAACTGTACGAATACTTGAAAGAACAAAAAATTAGGGTTTGGGACGAAAACAGGACTTCTTGCAAAACGTCCTGTTTCCGTCGTCCCATACTAGATGTTTTATTTTTTCCAGTATTTGCATCTGTTCACCAGCACGCTCGTTTTCAATTATTATAAATTGAACTGCCTTTTTATGTTATTGCGTTTTAGTATCGGTAATTAAATACTGTTTTGCAATTACTGCGTTTGCTACAATTTTGGGATTCTAGAGCACATTTGTATGAATAGCTTATACCGGCGTGATTTGGTTCGCCATGCAGGCGGTCTTCCTTCTGCGAGAGGTTTCTCCGCCTTGATCCTTTGTAGCAATGGTACTTCGTAGTAGGTCGCTAGTAGAAATTACCGCCTCTACTCCGGAATTACGTCTCTCGCAATACATGAATGTGCGCCATGAGGTTGAAGAGCAATGACTTAGGGGTCCAAATGCTCAACAACCTTCGACTTGCCTAGAAAATGCGTATTATGTGAGAAGTAATTAATTAAATATATTCTGCAATGAAGTTACTGATGAGGTAGGCTTCACTTATTGTATTTACATTTTATAAATGTATTTTCACTTTTAATTTGCTGCGTGTTTTTCTTTACAAAACTAAGCCATGACGGGTTCCCATCTGACAGCCTGTGATACATATCACAGGCTGTGAGATTTGTGGGCACAGAAAATAAAGAATTATTATTATATTATATTATTATTATATCATGAATGCGTCGTGTGAGAAATTAATCATGCCGCGAGACTGAGCTAGTTGAGCGCGTATATATATTAAAGAAATACAACCTTTCGCACAGCTTCCTCCTTAGTTTTATTGTCAATCCAGTCGTCGTTCGTGAACATTTTCTTAAATTCTTCTTTTATTGCTTTAGCAATCATTTCCACCTGAACCCGTGAAACAATATTTCGACTTTAAGCACATATTTCATCGTTCCAATTAGGTCAAATGGGCAAAAAAGGGAGGTTCATATTCATTTTTTGAGATAGTCTCCCCTGAACAGTAAATAATGTACAGATACATTTACTTCGGTCCAAAGGTAGTCGCGTAACTAGAGTTAGCAATTAGAAGAGGATGATGCCGAAGGGGCAACAAATGACGTCACGAGAGTCGGAGTGCCATGTTTCAGATGTCCCATTCCTGGTGGTTGTTCGCACAAATTTCGGCAAAAAGAACGAGTACGGTAGTACTAGTTCCGGCAAAAAGAAAGAGTCCACCAGCGCTGCTGTGACACCGCCAGGATCGCGGTCGGCGATAGCGTGTCACTTTTATGACGTCATCAGGCGGAAATCGAGGGAGCACTTTTTGTTTTGGACGTGGTAAACACATCGTCGGATATGCGTTCCAGGTACCATGTACGGGTAGGCATAATGCCTGGTACGCGTCTCCCACTGGTGTCTTTACGGCCTCACGGCAGCATGGTGGTGTCTCGGCAGCGGTAATGGATGTGGCATACGGCTGCTCTGCCGCGGTTATCGCTCTCCAGCTTGACAGACCACGGAAGCTTTGGCAGCCAGGAGTAGAGACGCCGTGACGACAGCGACACTCGTGTCTTTTGCCGGAACTTCTACGACCAACCTCCAGGATTGCGACATCCGACAGCACGACACTCCGGCTTTTGTGACGCCATTTGATGCCACTTTGGGGACCACCTTCGGTGCCTGAGAGGATAAAAACGCTAAGCACACCAGTCGGAGGCGCATTTCAGTCACCATAACGGGGTTAACTTAGCCGACGACTGATGTTTGTTAGCAAGAAAGTGCCTAAGAAAGAGTCGAAAAAAAAAAAAACGAAGTAACAATAGAAATGAACAGCCCGATAACTCTAACACAGATTCCGCGCAGAGAGAGACAGAAAAAAAAAAAGAAATGTGACACCACGTTGCAGCAAAGTCTGAAAAAAAAAAAGAAGAAAAAGACGAAAATAAACTAAGATTAGAAAGGCGGACTCAGTATAGTGGGACCGTCTTTCGAGTGATGGCATTTAACGTGTCTCAAAAGAAGTTAGCCATCAACTGAATGTGTGCAGTGTATTATTGCAAAGGAGTTTCGTTTTTATTTGGACAATAACACTTTTTTTTTCTCGCACATGTGAGAAGTGGCAGGTAATCTTTCATACTCCTTTTTCATTTTGTCAATTAAGTGTACGTGTACATTCATTTCGGTAATGACTTGAGATCGTAATCACGGTGAGAAGCTCGCTAACGCGTGCATGTGACTCTGATATGTTTTAAGTGCGTGTGACGCTGTTATGTCACTATGGGCAGTGCATGTGACGCTGTTATGTATTAATTTTCATAGCGCATAGAAGTTTGGCATTACACGTGCTTGCTCCAGCACAGGAGGTTGAAGTAACTCTGGGTTGTGCATAAATTCTACCAGGCGTCGATACAAAAAAACTTCTCGCCGGGAATAGGCACAATTGTCTCCACCCTGCATATATAGACATCACTGTAGTGAATACATTGTGATATGTTTTTTGCTGGTTTTTATTTTTGTAGTTGGCGATGGTGGCGGCAGGGTTAGCTAGATTGTATTTTTGCCAAGACAGGTATATGAACAAGACTTCTATGAAAACGGTAATGTCAACGACAAAAGTAAGACGTATTGATTGATTGAAACACTACAGTTGAGTCGTAGCAAAGATTTGAAAGTTTTAGATGTTTAAGTATTTAAAGAAACAGAGCATATATAGATTTGTATTTCGGATGCCTTACAAAAACTGTCACATAATGTGTTTTCGGTAAAAAACAATCTAGGCAAGAAGAAAACTTTTTTTTTTGTAGAAGTAGCACACATTTTACTGTTGAAATGGTAAATCATTTTTAACAATCAAGGCGCAAAAACGAAAACTGTCGCGATGCTTTTTCGTTGGTTTCCTCGTGTGTAGACAGGCAACCCAATGCATTCTGAAGAGTTCGTCTGCTAGCAGAGACCCCAAGCTCGCCAGAGGAGCTGCGGTCGGTTTTCGCCGTCACGCCGCGGGCGTTTCGTGTGTTGGCCTCCAAGGTATTTGATAAAAGGTCATTTAACAGCCTTTATGCGTCTAATATATGTCTTACATAGTTCATCTTAGCTCTGACATGTTTATTACACAAATCATATCTAAACATTACATTGTTTAAATAGGAAAAGAACAAATAAGCTAAGATTATCTAAAAACCAACAAAAGAAACAGGCAGACAGACATACAGATATACAGGCAAGCAGACAAAAACAATCGCAAAAGCAAACAAATCACAACAAAGTACAAAGTAACAAACAAACATAAACACAAATATACTTACGATTAAAGAAATGAGCATGCAAAAAGCAATTGTAAGAAATAAACAAACAAATGAAACAATATTATCAGATAAAAAAAAACTTCACATAAACGAAAAACAAATAAAATTGCGAAACAAATAAAAATGCAAAAATGAACCAATAAATTAACAAGAGATGAAATTTTGTTAGCAGACTAGATTAAGCTCGCTTTTACTTGGAGATTCACATTGATTATATCGATGATGTTGCCTTTTTTAACGTTTTATATATAAAAAAAAAAAGAGAAAAGTGGCGATTTACGCCATTTCTGCTCGCCTAACTCACTTACTTCTTCCTTTGCTTGAGAACTGAACTTCTGTTGGACGTACAGGCGGTCAACGCTTGCCGACATGCTTTCTCTGACCACCTGAGTGCATCTTTCCCAGCGTGGATAGGACGGTGCAGCACCGTGCTTCTTTCTTTCGAACTCTCTTATCGCACCACGGAGCTCTTTCGACGCATAGGGTCCATACTCTGATACGATACTCCACCCTAAAAAATTGTACAGCGTCGTCCTGCGGTAGGAAACAATACCGGTGACGAATATTAAATCATCATATCAGTCACTGGGAGCGTAGGAAGCGCAGGACGCGGCTTGCTATGTTTATGCTCCTTGATTCGTTTTTAGGTGTTCATGTCGGGAGCGAAGACCGAAACCTCATTGGCTACGAAGCGGTAATAAGATTCACAGGGCACGCCGACGCCCTGCCTTTCTTACGCCATTCAGTGACTGTATAATTTTCTAATATATATTTAGACAATAAGACAGCATTTTTTTTTCGAGTTTAAATAGTTCGAACGAAACGTCAAGGGCATATTATACAGGCTCGAACTGTCTTACCGATGTATAGCTTGATGCTCCCGACAGCAAGCTGAGGTCGAAGAGTGGTATTAAAATATAGTATACATTAATATTTGTTTTAGAAATGAACATCGTGGAAGTTTTAAGAATCGCAGCCTAAATTATAAAAATAGATTTAGCCCCTTCAAAAAGAGTACCCTTACGCGAGGGGAGAAAATTACAGATTTCCTTCAGTTTTACTATTTTTCCAGGAATGACCGCACATTGATTACAATTGCAGAGCTGATATATGCGTACATGAAGTCGATAATTTTACTAAAATCTGCTTACACGTTCTAAACACTGTTCATTACTTGCTTAAATATATTTTATATTTGTGAAATGCACTTTAATATATTGAAGTTTAAGTTGAACAGAATGGTAAACCTGAGACTGGCCTAAAAAAACAAGAAATGCGAAGGAAGCCAGCAAAGAAACAGACGTCTCAAACTCAGGTACAAAATGTATCTTTTACACACTTTATATACCACATCCCCAACGCCCTCACTACAATCACCAGTGGCAACAGACAAGACGACGACACTATAGAACAAGAGGATTAAAACACACACACACACACACACACACACACACTCTCAGCTTTTAACGAAAACGTGGGTAAACCTTCTTTCACCTTCCGTAACCTGGGCTAAGAAACATTTGCACAGAAAGTCGCACTTCAACATAACCACGACCTTGCCCTCCGCAAAAGTAAGGGGTTCACAACTGAACACAAAGAACGACCATACCCTCCGAGAACGAACCTAAACAGGAGCATAATGTGATAATAAAAAATGACTTCATCATACATTTTTTAGAGGTTATGAGCGCTGTCAAAGGGAATATTAACATGAAACGTTCTTTGGCTCGCCAAGGAAGGAGACCGTCAGATTTAGTGAAACTAAAAAAAAATCGACCGTGACGATCGACGCTGATTGGCTGGTGGAAAAGTCTCTTGATCAACGCTGATTGGCAGATTCCGGTGAGTCTGGGAGGTTCTGGAAAACCACCAGGCTTTAAATCCCGACTGGCGCCGGTATCTTCTTTCCTGGAACTGTTATCAAGTCCGTGTGCCACGGGTTTTCTTACGAAGAGCGCCGTGAGCGTAGGCGCCGGGCTCGGTAATGCTCCGGAGCAATATTGAAACGTTCCACGTGTAACACAATTGCACAGCAGTTTGCTACGCAACTTTATGTTGACATATAGTGTGGAAACGTTCAGTTGTGAAAGTAGTAATGCATTTAAATTGTCGAAAACACTCATGTGAAGATTGCCTGAATAAAGAAAAGATTTTTTTTTTAATATTTAGTTGCTGTTGGATGGTCGCTCCTCAAAACTAATGCAAGCCAATAGTTACCTAACTTAAACTGAGAACACATCGTAGGACAACGTGCAACACTTACATACTGACTTTTGAAAGTAGCTTCATCAGATTTGTGTAGTATTTCGGTTCCTGAAATATGATGTCCTCCTCTTCATTGACCGTTATATTCACAGGTGAAAGGTATTCATTGAGTAGATTAACCCAGTTAATACTCTGGAACATAAACTTCACGATTAATACAAGCTTGGGAGAAGAGCGTGTTGGTTTGGGTCATGGATGAAGAAAGAATAAAACAATTAAAACAGGGACAACACAACCGCATCTTTCAACTAGCAACAGACGAGTAAACTTTCAAACAGCGAGCAGCCGACTATACCCAGTAGGAGTAGGGAAAGAAGGGGGAGAGAAGGAAAGGAAAGAAAAGAAACGCGAAGTCAGGGTGGTAGGGTTATCTCGGATTTTAAAAATTCAACCTCAGTTTTCGTCAGCAGGAGGGAAGGGTTAGACACGTTGTTTTTTGCTGTGGTCATCGCGAATGATTCCATGATTAATACAAGAGTCATGTTCTTACAACTTGCATGTTTTGTCCGGCCCCCCCCCCCCCCCCCCTCATCCGCCCTCCCCCCAAAAAAGAATTTAAACAAATTAACTTTAATAATTCTTACGCTTTTCGAATTACATGTTGCTTTATCGACAACTGGCCTCATCCGAACACGGGAATAAAATATGGTGTGCACAATAAACTTAAATTTATAGAGTCTATTGATTTCTCGTCAACTTTAGACTGATTTGAAGATACTAGAGGAAATTTGGGGGAATCAACGAATGTTAGCTTTCTGACTTTTTGGCAGCTTTTTTCAAGACTGAACGGAAAACACTTAGTACCCGCACTATTCGTGACTAGCGTGTTGGTTTATTCTCTGTCTATTTTATTCTTTTCACTAAGATGAATACTTGTACTCAGGTTTTGACTCAAGCGCATTTATGTTTTGCTTAACAATGGAGACTAGAAACCCATCACCACATGCACACAGACAAAAAAGTGTCGGAGCATTTTGTAAAAAAATAATAAATGATTTGGAGTTTGTGTTTCAACTTAAGTATGTTTTATCTGTCACATTAGGAACAAATACGGCGCTTTAGTTTATGATAGAAATCTTTAAACAAGGTAAGCTCTAATCTTAATCACACTTAATGGGTGAGGTTCATTATAATGAACAACTAAACCAAAAATCACGAGAATTTTAATCTGCTTGATGAATACCATCAGGCCCTCTTACGGGGAGCACGGGGCGGGGCGTCCTTTTGACAATGCAGTTTTGACACACACGTGCACGTATATATATATATATATATATATATATATGTATATATATATATATATATATATATATATATATGTATATATATATATATATATATATATATATATATATATATATATATATATATATATATATATATATATATATATATATATATATGACAGCAAAAGAAAACCCTTGGTGGAAACAGCAACAACAGACGGTTCATTCTTCGACGTTTCTTTATTCTTTATTCTTTATTCAGGTAGCTCCTGCAGCGCCGTTAGGCATTATTGCAGGGGGCGAACAACATAGAAAAAAAACATTTCTGCATTTGCGGCACAAACAGTTTCAACACTTAAATTGTTCCAATCCCTAATGGTCCTAACAAAGAAAGAATTTTTGCACAGTTCCGTCCTGGTGGAATATTCGCGTATTTTGTGGATATGATCTTTACGTTGGGAAATATAGAAAGGGGGTAGAAGGTAGTGAAAACCGTTAATACCAGTGTGTTTATTATAAATGCTATATAGAAATTTTAAGCACAAATTTTTCCGCCTGGATGTCAGCAAATCCCAGCCTAATGTACTCTTCATGTCCGTGACGCTCGAAAAGCGGTCGTACAGCCCCAGGACGAAGCGTGCCGCACGATTTTGGATCCTCTCTAAAGCGTCTATGTGATTTTGCTGAGCAGGATCCCACACAGTGCAAGCATAATCTGTAAGAGGTCGAACGTAGGTAAGGTATGCAAGTTCTTTTATTTTTTGTGTAGACCTTTTTAGATTACGCTGGATAAAACCGAGTGCCCGTCCCGCCCTCATGACGACATCGTCAATTTGCGCATTCCACTTGCAGTCTGCTAATAAGGTCACCCCCAGGTACTTTACTTTACCGTCACTTTTTAGTGGTTCATTATTTAAATAATACTGAGTGTGAAGTTTATTTTTTTTGCGGGTGAAGGTAACATGTACACATTTGCTGACGTTTAACTGCAATTTTGATAGACTGCACCAGAGTTCAATTTGATCCAAATCAGCCTGCAGTTGTGTGGAATTCTCATCGTTTTTTTATACATCTATATACAACACAATCGTCAGCAAACAATCTTAGCTGAGAGGTCACGCCAACGTGAATATCATTTATAAATATTAAGAACAGCAAAGGTCCAAGTACCGACCCCTGTGGCACGCCAGAGGTAACTTCAACAAAATCTGATGTTTCACCATCTAGAACCGTACATTGCCGACGCGAACACAAATATGCCTGTATCCAATTATGTACCGAAGTATCTAGATTCAAAAGTGCCAATTTTTGGATTAAGAGGGAATGCGATACTGTATCAAACGCTTTTCTAAAATCGAGAAACACACAATCAATTTGCTCACCCCTATCAACGGTAGTAACAAGATCATGATACAATTCAGTGAGTTGTGTAGTACAAGAATAACCCTTTCTATATCCATGTTGATAATCAATAAAAAAGTTCTGAAACGTGAGAGTTGCATTATCTGGGAATATAAAATGTGCTCAAACAACTTGCAGCAAACCGACGCTAAGGAGATCGGCCTGTAATTCGTGACATCATTTTTGGGACCGGAGTCCGGCCTTCGAACCGTTCGTTGTTGCTGTATTCACCAAGGGTTTTCCTTTCTTCTCGGTTATATACCCATGCCTTCGGTCCCCAGCTACCATGCCCGTTGGGTGTATATATATATATATATACACCCAACGGGCATGGTAGCTGGGGACCGAAGGCATGGGTAGATATATATATATATATATATATATATATATATATATATATATATATATATATATATATATATATATATATATATATATATATATATATATATGCAGGGTGTTTCAGAAAACGCAGGACAAATCGCTCCTGCGAAAACTAGGCATCGAACAGAAAAAAAGTTGATACCGTTTTGGTGGCTGTCCAAGAACCCGTTTAGAGAAAATATTATCGTTTAGAAAAAGTACTTTTTTTAAGTTTTTTAGAAAGCAACTTTTTGTTTGTTCATTTGAGGGCCATAGTTTCAAATAGAAACTTACTGGACATCCATCAATAACCCCTATAACAACCCTTTTCAGACAAGTATAAAGCATGCCTAGCATTTTACCATGTTTTGGAAAAACCCTTCAAGTCTATCGCGTACTCAGGTTTCGGATTCTTATCCAAGCGCATCTTGGCGACAGCTGTCTTGCCCTCCAACGGCTAAAGCGCGGAACCAAAGCCAACCCAAAAGTCAAAGCTCAATCTTGCAATGTCATGCTCTTTCGAACAACGAGGCGTTCCTTGTCGCCTGACCTCACGCGCGCGCTAAACTTCTTTGTTTTTTTTTTACGAGAGAGGGAAGGGAGGGAAGGGAGGCAAGCGGGCGAGACTATGCACCAACTCAAACAAACCGGTGCGCCCCTAGCGGACGCCACCGGCGGCGCGCATGCGCGATGGGGGTATGGGCAAGAAGCTCCCCGCCACCCATAAACAAACCATTGGAATGGATGTTGCCGGCGTCGGTGTGAGTGATAGCGCTCTTTTGTCGCGTTGGAATTGTTGATTCTACGTCTTCCAGGCAATGTCTGACTACTATAGTGGCCCCAGCAAAATTAACGAGGCTCGTTACACCGCAAAACTCGGCGTGAATAATGTAACATGAGACGATTCATTCCGTGTGGACGCCGCAGAATGGACGCTAAAGCCTGATTCACGTGGTGAGGTTCTGCTCGCTTTTTTTTCATGACGTCACTCGGGCTGCAAAAGCCTGCACCGTAGCTGAAATGTTGACGTCGATACTAAAAGTCGCAAGCAGAATCGGACCGAGCGAATCAGGCATAACAAGTCGGTGATGGCCACTGGTAACAATTATCAACATCTCCTTATATCTACTGTTTACACCGAGCCTACTTACCCCAAGCAACCTTCAAACTTAAACCTATTGTGAGGTCTGCATTTCTTATCGAAATTACCGGGTCAACGTTTGGTCTACGGCACAGTATCGTTTGAAAGAGCTGACGACTAGCAAAAACGTTTGATAGAGCAGACGACAGCTCAAATGATGAGGCGGCCCTTTGAACATGATGACGCACTGAACGTATTCCGCACGTGGTCCCTGCAACTTGACGGTTTTTTCGTGTTCATGTTGGAACAAAATAAATAAATCTGACGACCACAAATATCCGTGAATTCAATCCAAAGTGATTTCCGCCCAAGGAATCGTGGTCCGACGGCCCCTGTTCACGTTCTCGAACGAACCGAGCACGCAGGAAACGAATGCAAACTGGCCTTCAAACCTTTCCCTACCCTTTTAGTAAAGCCCCAGTCGCGGAGTTTTGACGAGAAGGCAGGTTTTCGTCCGGTTTCTTCCAAAGCAACACAGGAATACAAGTGCCCCATGGCGGCTTCCGCCCACAGTCCCAGACCGAAAGTGCGCCGGACGCGCCACCACTGCGCCGTGGCGTAACAGAGATGAGTTCGTGTATACTTTGTTTCCCCTTATGTTCGAGCGCGGTCAATGTTATTAGCGAAAGTGCCAATCAGGGGGGTAAAGGTGGGTGAGGAGGAGAGGCCAATCCCGCGCGCCGACATCCTGGGTCCCGAGTGAAAGATCGCGAAAGAGAGCGACAGAACAGGAGAGAAAGAAACCAATGTTGCCAGCTGAAGGACGACGGTCGCAATGGTAATCGCCAAGACTAAAAACTCCCAGCAATATAAATAGTGATAATTTAGCGTTGTAAACTAAATTTTGAGCTATTTTAAGGCTTATAAAAAGCGGTATGTTCATTACGCTGCATTAACTTCCGTTCTGTCGAAATCTCTGAAATCTGGTGGTTGCGCGGTTTCGTATTTCTGGGGCGCGACCAACCCGGCCAACGGTGCGGCCAACCGCGAAGCCGGTGATC